CTTGTGTTGGCAGTTTATCCTTCGGATCACAAGGGTTAGCCACTTTGAATTCACCACAGCACAGGTCGGCCACCGCCTCGTTACTGTGCAGGCTTTCAAGCAGTTTACAAATACTTGTGACCTGCACCGCCCTAGAACCAAACCCGAGTCCCAAGGCTCTGGCTATTTAGCTAACTGGACAAAATGACTTCATTACAATCACAATGACTTTGTTACAATCTAGAGTTGTTACAAATGAGCCCACAACTAACCGGCCTGTTCTTATATATAACACATTTTGTCATAATGACCAAAGTGAGAAAAATGCTCAAAATCCTTTCAACTAGTAGTAAAGTGACTTTCTTTCTACTATTTGATCGTCTTTGTTTTTTCTTTATGCTATTGCGTAAATCCATATAATTGAATATTTTATTTGTATTGTAATTTTCTAACAGATTGAACTACGCAATGTATTCGTTTACTAAACATAATTTGTATATGTATTTTTTTTCTTGTTACCAACAAATATGAACTTTGAATCGTTTCTTACATATTTAAAATGAAGATAGTGCGTAGACGTAAGAAAGCAAGCACAAAGGGAAAGAAATATTGTGATAGTTTATATATTATATATTTTTTAAACATTTATAAATAATTTATGAAGTACTTACTGCAGAACGAGTTTTTAAATAGTGAAAAACAGAATCCCTAAAGAAAGCCCAACACGGCAAAATTGTAAAATGTTGCAGGCTCGGTTTGATTGAGCCTGTTCATGGACGGTAATGGAAAATGCAAGTTACCTTCCACGCCCCCTAGCACCGGCTTAAGCAGAATTCAACATTTAGAAACTAAAATGGCGAAATTTTGAATTTAGAAACATCCGCAGATGTGTTCATACGGCGTTCATCATTGAACCTTCAATGTGACACATAAGTGTCATTCCATGAAAAGCGGCGTATGGTCCCCAAGAAAAAGAATGCGTGTGCTCTAAACGAAAAAACAAAGGACGGAACTAAATAAAATGGAATTTTGAAAGGAGATCTGAGGTTATGAAGCCTGCATATCACAGACAAGACGTCAAAAGACAAATTTAAAAAGCAGGCAACATATCCTAAGGGTGGTTATACAGTATTCAAGTAGGAATAATGGAACCACCCAAATTGAAAAAGGTCAAAAACAAGAAACTCAAAATACCATCTTAAATGAATAAACAAAAACAATGTCGTGCTGAACGATCTTCAAGGATCGAAAAAATAACATCATTGATTAAATGTACGGGGAGACACATTTTAAGCTTCCTACTCTATCCGTAAATTTATTTGTATGCACATTTGTACTTAATTATATAAATAAAAAAATTACAAATAACAAATTACTGACAGATTGCATTGAATAAGAAAAAGAATATTTAAGACTGCACGTCGGTAAAATAAAAACCGGGTTCTACAGTAAACTACATGCGCAGAATAATTCCATCTAGGACCATAATTATTGCATTACACTTAACCAGTCGAGATTAATGTGTTAGAATTGATAGATAAAAGAAATGGGAACTCATTATCTAACATTATTCATGGGCATATAGATTTATAAATCACTTAAATCAAATTAAAACTCGGTGTGTGGTTAAAACATATTAATTTACATAAAACCAAAAAGAATTATTGACATTTAAAAGAATGTTACAATAACATGAAGGCAAAAAGGTGAAAACTCTCAGAAAGAAATATTCGGACGGAAGTATATATATTAAAAAAATGATTTTCAGTTATAACTGAACGCTGGTGAAACACACTTTTGTTGGATGGTCATTGTCTTCTGTTAGAAAGGTAGCTATTTAGTTAGTTAGTAAGTTGGTTAGTTAGTAAGTTATTTAGCTAGTTAGTAAGTTAGTAAGTTAGTTAGTTAGTTAGTTAGTCATTTAGTCAATAAGTTAGCTATTTTATTCTTGCATAGCAGACTGGCGTTTCCGTGTGTTTTACCCATGCCGGAATTTTCATCTGGCATGGGGGGTGCCAGATGAGTCGCGTGCTGTACAATGTCACGCTTAGGATGACGTCATTTTACCGTTATGAATGAAGTTGCAATTTCATACGCTGTTGTAAGAAAATAGGTACCGCTATGATATAAATATCCATTGAAAATAAAGATAAATAATTTAAAATATTATGGAATATTGTAGAATATGCAAGAAAAAATATCTGACATATGTTTGCAGTTCGGATCGGAATATCCGTCCCTCGGTAACCCGCCCATTGGCGGTAACTCGACAAGCCTCGTTACCGCCCAATGGGCGGGTCACCTCGGGACGGATATTCCGGTCCGAACCGCAACATATGACAGATATTATTATTTGTCCAATCATTCATTCGATTATCTGTTAATTAGTTCGTTAATAGGTTGGTTTGTTGGTAGGTGTGTTGATTAGTTGGTTAATATAGGTTTGATTATGTGCTTCTTTCCTTCATGTTTATATTGTCTCTCGACATAATTAGTTACTATACATTAAGAACTGTCTTAATCTCAAAGACTTTACTCCATAAGAGGAATTCCTTGAATCCAGTCTCTTCTCTTGCTATCGCTATCCATCTGTTCTGAAAAATAGAGGATAATTGCTTAATTTGAGTAAATATGCTATCCGACTGCAAAGTGACACTGTTGGTGATATATTGTGGATAATATGAATTTTATCACACAAACAAAACACGGTGAAAAGAAATGAAAATAAATGCAAACAGCGGTGTAATTGGACCTTTAACGAAGCACACCTCAAACCGGAAACAATCATCAATTGATCATCAATTTCAATTATGAATTACTAAATATATTTTCATTCTAAATATATTCAATGGAGCATATACTATGTTTCTTAAAGCACTCAAATACATATAAAATTCTGTGTTTTCTTTTTTTTCTAATATAAACTCGTGCTTTTTAGCTCACCTGTCACAAAGTGACAGGGTGAGCTTTTGTGATCGCTTTTCGTCCGGCGTCCGTCCGTCCGTCCGTCCGTCGTCCGTAAACTTTTGCTTTAAATGACATCTCCTCATAAACCACTGAGCCAATTTCATCCAAACTTCACAGGAATGTTCCTTTGGTGGTCACCTTTAAAAATTGTTCAAAGAATTTAATTCCATGCAGAACTCTGGTTGCCATGGCAACCGAAAGAAAAATCTTTAAATATCTTCTTTTAAACAACCCTAAGAGCTAGAGCTTAGATATTTGGCATGAAACATCTTCTAGTGAGTGTCTACCAAGTTTGTTCAAATAAAAGCCCTGGGGTCAAAATTGGCCCCGCCCCAGGGGATCATTAATTTTCCCTATATGCATATAGTAAAAACTTAAAAAATCTTCTTTTAAAGAACCGTAAGAGCTAGAGCTTAGATATTTGGCATGAAACATCTTCTAGTGAATGTCTACCAAGTTTGTTCAAATAAAAGCCCTGGGGTTAAAATTGGCCCCGCCCCAGGGGGTCATTAATTTTCCCTATATGCATATAGTAAAAACTTAAAAAATCTTCTTTTAAAGAACCCAAAGAGCTAGAGCTAAGATATTAAGCATGAAACATCTTCTAGTGAGTGTCTACCAAGTTTGTTCAAATAAAAGCCCTGGGGTCAAAATTGGCCCCGCCCCGGGGTCATTGATTTTCCCTATATGCATATAGTAAAAACTTAAAAAATCTTCTTTTAAAGAACCATAAGAGCTAGAGCTTAGATATTTGGCATGAAACGTCTTCTAGTGAATGTCTACCAAGTTTGTGCAAATAAAAGCCCTGGGGTCAAAATTGACCCCGCCCCAGGGGGTCATAGATTTTCCCTATATGCATATAGTAAAAACTTAAAAAATCTTCTTTTAAAGAACCCAAAGAGCTAGAGCTAAGATATTTAGCATAAAACATCTTCTAATGAGTGTCTACCAAGTTTGTTCAAATAAAAGCCCTGGGGGTCAAAATTGGCCCCGCCCCAAAAACTTAAAAAATCTTCTTTTAAAGAACTCAAAGAGCTAGAGTTAAGATATTTAGCATGAAACATATTCTAATGGGTGTCTACCAAGTATGTTCAAATAAAAGCCCTGGGGTCAAAACTTGCCCTGCCCGGGGGGTGTCATTGATTTTCCTTATATGTGTATAGCAAAAACTTAAAAATCTTCTTTGAAAAAACCCAAATAGCTAGAGTTTAGATATTAAGCATGAATTATCTTTAAGTAAATATCAACAAAGTTTGTTCAAATAAAAGCCCGGGGGTCAAAACTGGCCCTGCCCCAGGGGTGTCATTGTTTTTAACTATATGTGTATAGTAAAAACTTTAAAAATCTTCTTTTAAAAAACCCAATGAGCTAGAACTTAGATGTTTAGCATGAAACTTCTTCTTATGGGTGTCTACCAAGTCTGTTCAAATAAACAAATAAAAGCCCTTGGGTAAAAATTGGCCTGGGGGGTGGGGGGGGCCTATATACAGGTGAGCGACCTCAGGGCCATCATGGCCCTCTTGTTTATATTATATTCGTCTCAGATTATAAAGCATGTAATTATTTAAGCGCTTATTATATGTCAATTACTCACTTAGGAAAAGAATTTCATAAGACATGTTGTCTTTCATTCTAATCCTGTTTTTTAAGAATATTTGAATTGCTCTATGTATATTGTAAATTGTAACATGTATATATATTCTGAGAAATAAAATATGTTTAAACTAATTATGAATTATATAACACTCAGATCAAATCATTTACACAATTACCATTTTTATTGCAGCAATTCTCAGTTCATAGACGACATACTTCAGCGCTGCGAATAGTACTCTGTGAGTCTCTTCTTCATCGCTACTTCCTCTAAAACTGTTATTCAATTTGAATCAAATCAGCCATATTATGTTTGTTGGATGCAATACACTAACAATAAATAATTAGGAAAGACGATTGTGAAATCATTCCGAACACAAATTACGGTCAATATGACGTATTTCCTGTTAATGTTTTTGTACATTTTATGTTGAGTATTATGTTTACAATATTATGTTCTTATCTTGTTATCTAATTGTCTTGTCCCTAATCTGATAAGTCCGTCATTGTAAGCAATTTTATACAACGCAAACGGAAAAATGATGACCGCTTTCAGTAAGTTTTACTTTTCAATGCTGCTTGTTTCCTTAAATAATCTAATATTCATTTTAACATCAGCTTATCGACACAAGTAAGCTCCTTCTCACTTTGCGCCATCAATTATTATCTGTGTTTTTAGGGTAATGAGTTAAAATTGTGACAATGAAAGACCATGAAAGATTTCTCCGACTTTATCTTACTCTTTATCTCCGAGTAAGGTCATCGGATATCCATGGTTTGAAATTATACAATGAATGGCCCGTTAAGCATAACATGTCATAAACTTGAATTTTATTTGTTGACTATATTTTCCACTCTTCTTTTTAATGTCTATGATTTAAGCAAATATACTTATATCTTTTACTGCGATGCTTTGGTAACAAAAAAGCTAACATACATCATAATATAGTTGCGTACACTTTACGGAATATTGTTTTTCAGACAAAATTCAATTGATTGGGATATTGTGTAGCATAACAGGTAAGTTATGAATTGTATTGAATATCAGTTGTTACCTTTAAAATCCTTTATAATAGTAACAGTTAGTACAATTTACTTAATTTTGAAATACATTACAAAATCTGTGAATTGATCCATTTGTTGTGGCTTTAAATCAATACCTTTGTGAATGTAACTGTACGAACAGATACACGAGTTCCATAATCATTATAACTTTATGACAAATTTCTTTTAAGGTTCCAGTGGGTTGCTTTGCTATTCTTGTAATGATATTAGAATTAGTGAGGATTGCATGAATGCAGTGGAGTGTACTGGCAGGGAGGTTTGCTTACGTTTTCACTTTTCCATCGACCTTAATATATCTTTAAGTGTATGTATATGCACTGTATGGACATTGAAAGGTCATTGTCGTAATTGTGTTGAGACATCAAATCATTATGTTTTACAAAGTGTTAGTTGTAATTAAAAAATACGTAATGCCACCTAATTAAGAATTAAATAATAGAAAGCAAGAGTCTCTTTATTATTTAATTAAGCTTTCACCTTTCAAAAAGGAGCGATTGTGCCTCAAAAGTCTGCTCTTGTCTTGTAAGTTTCGTTATTTTAATGCTTCTGAGTGATCACTTTTTCAAGTTATTTACCTTTGGCAATAACGTTCGGACAAGTTTCATTTAACAAACTTTGATAGATATTTTGAAACGTATGAAGCCTTTTTGTTCTGACATCATATTCCTAAAGGCAATTGACAGCAAAAATTAAAAAAGATGATATGGATTTAAATAATAGCAACAAAGATATCAAAACAGAAAACATTTTTAAAGTTTTATTCATATTAAGTTATAAAGGATATTTAATGAGTGGAGATTCAATACTGAATTTATTGAAATAGTTGAATATACATAATATTCTATTCATCTCATATCCATATAAGAGCTATCAACATGAAACATACTCACTTTTAATTGACACTTGTATAGTATTACGCATACATTTAGTGCGTCTTTACGCTATAAATGTAAAATGCAACTAATGTCACAACAGAATGATGCAAGGTCGTGCTATACGATACAAAGCGACAGGGTGATGTGATAATCAAAATTATGGATTTTTTTTATTACATGCACTTAAAGGAATGTTTCACAAGGGCGGATGGTTATATCAATGGAAGTGTTCTCTACACAGCTGGATGCACATATGACATGGTAAGCGTTAAAATACATTTGTATCATAGATTAGAGACCACTTTTTAAAATGCATCATAGTAAAATACAATTGTATCATAGTTTGGAGACTTTACAATTGAAATATGTGTAAGAGTTAAATCGAATACCACACATGCATTTTGCGTTAATTGGAGTTTTGGTATTTGTAACCAGCACTCACTGTCGTTAATTGTCTCATTTATTTTGCAGCAGTTTACTTATTGCGACGACAAAGACAAAAAGTCATATTTAGATGCTAGTATATCGGTTTCATTTTTCTGGCGTTTAATATTGTTACGACAAGGAATTAGTTTTTTGCCTATAATGGAAAAAAGACAGAACATCATAATACTTGGGAATCTGATTTATACTCGGGGCTGTTCTGCTTCGTACAAATCAAATAGCCACGTGTTTTGATGCCCGTTCTTTTATTCAACTAGTATAACTCGTTTGTATTTAGATTAAATATGAATATCAAAAAATCCAGCTCCATTTTCTTGCTATTCAAATGTCCTGATATTCAATTAACTGACAAGTTTCAATAGACAAAGTTTGATTAATGATTCGCCTCGTTATTTTATGACATAGGAATATTTACTATATAGCTGCCTTCAAAGCCACTAAGCTACATCATTAAAAAAAACAAATAAAAAAAACAAAAACAAAAAACGCATCAGCAAATTTAATTTTCATTTGAAACAGACTGCGTGCTGATATAACGAATGAGCAATTCAAATGGATCCAAATCAAAGTGTATGCATTTGCAAACTTGTACATGCATTCATTACCACTTTAATACTTAGTCGGCATCTAAAATGAAGTTCTAGGCCACTAATTTATCGCAATTAAAATGTACAGTAAAGACTGTTTACAGTGACCTTCGATGGGAGAAAAGAAAAAAGGTCATTGTAGACAGGGAGTCACTGTGGACAGTCTCAGCATAATTCGTATATATGAACATATCATACCAATATTTTGTTGAAAAGCAGGATAGTACCATACTAAGGGTTTAATTATATTTTTATTGATATCAAACATATCAAATATCATTTATAGAAAACAAGACAGTATTAAAATTGCATGTATAATTGGTAAAGATTATAAACTACACCATAACATTAGTATTTAAAAGTTACATATTTATGAAAATGTAATTGATATTGATAAATCTGTTTGTAAAAAAATGTTTAATTTCAATTTTACTAATGAGATGTTACTGTAGAGACATTTAATTTTGTATAATCAGCCCGTTTACTTTACGGAGTTCAATGTATTAATAAAACATTAGATACAAATCTTCACATAATTTCTACAGAAATGTGCTCCGAAAAACATTAACAATCGAGGTTTTAAACAAAACCACACCTTTAAGACGTTTGGGTTTATCTTTACTCGCCAAAACACCGCAGCATTGATGATTATGCAGGTGTCTTTAATCATTCTATCGGCGAAAATTGATTAAATCTGTCGCCATTTTGTGTAATTGTCAACAAACAGTCACAGTGTATTAGCGTGTCGCCGATTGGTCAATGCAAACTGACGTAGATACAACGCGCATTCTGATTCGTCAATCGCATGAAAACGTAATGAGAAAGATAAACATACTGAACTCTTGCCTTGCGGCGTGTATTGAACTGTTTGATGTTGACACGCGTTCTTAATTAGCGGATTAACGGTAATGGTTGTAATTGAGAGGTAAACAAATTATAAACAGACCTAGCGGCGTAAATAAGTATGACGGAAAGTTATAAAAATCGGGCGACTTCAAAATCTCTTTGAAGTTTGTTTTAGGCAAAGTCGCTAATCCGAAAGCGACTTCTTCGCCAAAGTCGTCACCTAGTTCAAGCCTTGCTCCCCTGAAAAAGTCGCTGTTCACGGCTCAAATACCGTAACGGGTGACTAAATCATGGTCGTTGTACGGACTAGACAGGGAGTCGCTACATACAGACCATTTATATAGTAAATACTGTTCGGCGCACCTAACTATGGTCACTAAAGACAGAACGTCGCTTTAAACATTTAACATTTAAGGTACCAGTTGGTCAAAGAAGTCAAACATTTTGTTCGGAAGTGTGCAATGAAAATCTATGTAACTTAGACAAGTGTCAACTTCCAGGTTTTATATTAACATAAATTATAAATTTTGGATTAAACTACAAATTTATTATTATCATGTCGACCACAAACATGCTAAACCAAGTAAAGTTACTTTCAAAATTATTTTATGCTTACCTACCTCTCTAATGGGTATCTACAGCTGTTTGATTTTTTTCTAAATTAACGTTTAAAGCAAATCGATGCAACGACAGTTCTTGGAACCGTTTGCATTACTAAAGAATTAACATACTAATACCGCTTATGATTGTTTATCAGTATCTCCAAGATGCAACATAACTCGACCACCGCGATGTTTGTCATGTGATTTGATTGAGGATCCTGCTCAATGCAAAAACCTTGTACAATGTCAGAGCGATGAGGTAAATTATATTTCTCAATTACAATTCAGAATCAAAGCGCGGACAGCACCGGATGGGACGGATAAGGAAAATGAACTGTGTGTGCTGCTAAGTGTTGTTTAGTGGAAATATCGTTTTTAAACATTCAATTCGATATCAACTTAAAGATGTATCCAACTTTCTACGCGTAATGTTTTATGATATTTTGACATGCTAAGCAAACGCAATGTCGTAACAATAATCCTTTTAATTCCATATCAAAGTACAAATAAACAATATCTCAAATATTGCTATTTAAAGTTAAACTAAAAGTTGTGCACAGTTATGCACTTTTAACAATTATAGAGACCTTATTCATCTTCAATTAAGTAGTATCTCATCGTTAAAGAAAAAAATATTCCTCGACTACATACAAGTATGTGTAAACATTTTATTTTAGAAACGTACTTCATTACGTTCTTGTATCTGTAAATTAAATTAACAAGGAATACAAAATAAAATCTTATTATTATTTTACAGACGTTTGGGTGTATTGTCTGTATTGAACTTTAGATATGATCATCATACAATACAAAAAAAACAGGAAAATTGATTCAGAAACAATTATATTGATTATTCTGTGAAACTAATCGAAACACGCCGACAAATGCAAGGAGAGATAGGTCTTACTAAAATAGCATCTTACGTACTATAGGTCAGTAAGACTTTATCACAGGACTGTCCTGTAACAAAGTCTATCACATTATTTTTAACAATAGTGGCAACTGATAGTTTCATTTTTCTTAAGTTGTCATATCATTAAATAGCCTTTATTACAAACAACGTTAAACTATAACAAATTAAATGTCATTAAATTTGTCATTAAATTATGTTTACACCAATCTTTCTTCTTACTTTTTAAACAAATGCAAGAGCTGATATATTGTAATTGGAAATTGTTTAAGCATCTTAATGGAGGATCACACAATCAGCAAACACACAAAAACACACAACACTAAAAATATCTTATTAAATTCTGTTTATCATTTTTTAAACAAGAGGGCCATGATGGCCCATGATCGTTCCCGTGACCCATCAACCGCATCCAAGCAATGTCTTAGACAAGCATCCTGGCCAAGTTTGATGACAATTGAGTCAAAAATGTGACCTCTATTGTGTTAAAAAGGTTTTCCATATCTGGGCAATGTCACCTAATTTTTTACTAGAGACGACCCATATTCAAACTCGACCTAGAAATCATCAAAACAACCTTCCTCACAAATTTCCAGAATATTTGGATCAAAACTGCAGCCACTAGAGTGTTAACAAGCTTTTTCTATTTTTAGCTCCTGTGACCTAATTTTTAACCGGATATGGCCCATCTTCGAACTTGACCTAGAAATCATCAAAACAACCTTCCTGACAAATTTCCAGAATATCTTGATAAAAACTGCAGCCACTAGAGTGTTAACAAGCTTTTTCTATTTTAAGCTCCTGTGTCCTAATTTTTGACTGGAGATGACCCATCTTTGAACTTGACTTAGAAATCATCAAAACAACCTTCCTGACAAATTTCAAGAATATCTGGATCAAAACTGCAGCTACTTGAGTGTTAACAAACTTTTTCTATTTTTAGCTCCTGTGACCTAGTTTTTGACCGAAAATAACCCATCTTCGAACTTGATCTAGAAATTATCAAAACAACCTTCCTGACAAATTTCCAGAATATTTGGATCAAAACTGCAGCTACTAGAGTGTTAACAAACTTTTTCTATTTTTAGCTCCTGTGACCTAGTTTTTGGCCGGAGATGACCCATCTCCGGTCTTGACCTAGAAATCATCAAAACAACCTTCCTGACAAATTTCTAGAATATTTAGATCAAAACTGCAGCCACTAGAGCGTAAACAAGCTTTTTCTATTTTTAGCTCCTGTGACCTAGGTTTTGACTGGAGATGACCCATCTTCGAACTTGACCTAGAAATCATCAAAACAACCTTTCTGACAATTTCCAGAATATTTAGATCAAAACTGCAGCCACTAGAGTGTTAACAAGCTTTTTCTATTTTTTAGCTCCTGTGACCTAGTTTTTAATTCTAGTTAACAACCCAGTTGTTGACGACGAACGACGCACGTCGCACGACGACGGACGCAGGACATAGCCCCATCACTATACCTCACCTTGACCGACCACTTCGTGGTCAGGTGAGCTAAAAATAGGCATAATCTATTGCAATAAATGTTAAATAAAATAAATGTTTCCCTGTACATCAAGCACTTCATGTTAAACTATACAGATTTATATTCTATATCTTCTTTTGTCATATGTACAACAGGCCTTGTTATGCTTCATATTGTATTGTATCATTATAATGTTTGACTTTGACACAATCATGTTAAGGGTGAGGTGCAAAATGCTAAAGTATGAAAATGAAAGGCATTTTCTGTTTTGTTCTATTACTCGCATTGAAAGTTCCATAATCACCTTCTACTTGAATAATAAAAATAAGATGAAGAAGAACTGCAAATATACGCTATTTTTAAATCATGTGCTTCATTCATAATAAATACAATATTTGTTATGTTTATAATAAATACAATATTTTTATGTTTATAGATGTGCTTCGTTCGAAAAGTTGTTATCTATGGCAACACTAGATACAGACTTGGTTGTATGAATTTGCAGGTAGCTGATTATTAATTATCGTAATGTATGTTGACATATAAATAATTAATAAGACTTACATTAAATCATCAATGCTTATGAAAGCATTCAATAAATTATTCCACTTACAGACCTGATGTTTTTGATAAGTGTTAACTGGTGTGGAAAGTATCATGCTCATTCAAGTACTGTCCATGAACAGGGACAAACACACTTAGCCTGTTTCATTACGATTTTGCCGTTTTGAGCTTTCTTTGGTGATTCTTTTTCTCCCTATTTCATTGTCAACAACACCAAAGCTGTGAGTTATATTATAATAAAAAAATCATATATACTGAAATTGTTCTTCTATTGGATTTTTCTGTTAAATTTCAAGCACTGCTCTGCTGCGCCGAAACAATCATCCCCTTCTCCGGCCTTGGTAGGGAAATGCTCTGATGGTACAGATAGTTCGTGTTCATTGTGTTGTTCGGAAGATCACTGTAATATTAAATCTTGTGGAAGTCAGCGAATTTCAGGTAGGTACAACAAAGATCATTAAATATTTGTCTTTTCAGTTCAAATAATACTATGAGTGGCATGCAAATATTGCACAATTCAAAAATAAGTTTTAGCTAAAGCTAATATATTACAAAAATGTATATGCAAAGGTTGATTATTTTGGCTTCGTAGATTTCATTAATTACCTTGATTTTGAAGCGGCGCAAATATTGAAACAAATGCCATAATAAAAATAAAACAACAACAAATAATTGCTATAAAATTTCAGAAAATTATTACCCGTACTCTGTGTTAATTGGCATTGGTTACATGTGCATGATATTTAATTTCGTAAAGTATACGCTTTCATTTCAGTATCAGATGACCACATTTATGACTTGCATCTACTTAAAGATGAGAGGACGTGCATGGATTTCAATCCAACAGCCTGTGCTGCATTTGGTTCACTAAATAAAGAAGCATGCAAAGCAATAGCCAACGTCGATAACCTTTGCCCCGCATCATGTGGAATGTGTGGTATGTAAATGTCTGATGTGCCGTTCTATGTCGCAACGCCGTTAATTATCATGTTAAACTCAAGGTACCTAATGGCATTATTTTAAATTATTCATATTCGTCATTATAAAGTAACTAAGTGATATAAAAGAGTGATTCAGTGCAACTGCCTACTGAAGACTACATTCGCTTTTTAACAGTCATTTGTCTCACATGCAATCGTTTAGGTTTAACGCGATTGATTAATGTTCTAGTTTGCATGTACAAAACTAATCATCTTTTAAGCTTTATGACTGAAATGCTGTTGGGAAAAGGCGTAAAATGAAACAAACAAATCGTCATACATGTGACATGACACACATATAACTCCAGCCTAAACGACTTAAAATAGTCTCAATTATCATAAACTATGCAGTAAATAGTAACATTACGCCTCAGAAATCCATATTTATTTAATTCTTTAGACATGCCAAATATATGTTTAATAATGTTTTAACGTTGGAGCTCTTAAGCATATATTACGGCCGTAAATTGAAAATACCGACTTTCATGAAACTAATAACACTTTCCCTTAAAGTATATCGGTAGAAATCATTATATAGAACATTCAATCATTCACTTCGTCTTATACTGATAAACTGAAAACCTTTTAAATTGATAATAAACCAGTACATTATTAGATCAATATTGATTAACATTTACAAAATTTAACTGTATTTTTTGACATTTGAAGAACGCGGACAAATGTGTGTCATTTAACATTACATTTGAGACATTTAAAGGCAAACGGTTTTGCGACATTAAACGACTGTTGCGACATTAAGTGACAATGGTGCGACCTTAAGCTGCTGTTGTGACATTTAACAAAAATTGATAGCAACTGTTGCGACATGTAGTGGCAGTAGTGCGACATAAATGGCTGTTGCGATATTAAACGGTTATGGCGCGACATTTAGCGAATGTTACGATATTAATCTGCAATGGTGTAACATTAAGTGGCTGTTGCGATATTAAGCGGCAATGGTGCGACATAAAGCGTGTACGGCATTTGACATGTTAAAAAAGTGCAAATGAAAGTGTTAAACAAAACGTTGAAATAATGGTTTAAGGGCATGTTTATCTCCTGCAGATTGTAGCACTGAATGTGTAATTATGTGTTATAAAAGTATGGAAATTAAAAAGGTAGTTTTTCGACTTATAGAAATTACTAAATCATTATAATTGTTCTTGGTATTGATTATTATTTTAACATAACAGATTGAAGCTATGAAAAACAAAAATCCATAAGATTTATGGCCCATCCCTGTTCAGTCACTGCGCCATTCGGCTCCGATATGTGTGCCCTGCTGGAGGTCTTGTGTGGCATGGCTTTGTCTACGGCTGAAATTTGTGTACATTGCTATGCCTTGTTCAGCTTTGCAGTTACGTTTTAATATTATGAATTGTATTACATTTGTAACTGTAAGCGCAAAATCGTGTTATTTCAATCGGATGAAATAATATTATCTTATAATATTTAAGGGCATTACGGTTGGACAGAATGGGGAGAATGGTCTGCATGTTCACAGTCATGTAACGACGGAACTTCTGTAAGATACCGAATATGCGTACATCAGCTTGATGCTGCGAGGAACCAGACGTGTGTAGGGACGGGAAGTGATACTAAGAACTGTAGCATTCAACCATGTGCAGGTATTTTTCATCTAAAATATGAGTTAATTCCCAAAGTCTTCTGATTTGGTCTGTTGTTTGAAAGGTATGGGCAATCTGGTAAAAAAATAAGGAAGTTTTTATATGGTTAGGGCCATCTAGTACAATGAATCAGTTAAACTAAACTAGATAACTGGCAAGCTAAAATGAAGATTAAATTAAATATTAAAAAGTAAGATACATGTATATTAAGAATTTTTTAAAATACTAAATAGGAAAACAATTGTTTACAACATTTACATGACTACACGAAAGTCTTTATTAATGAGTTATTGAAATGAAATAAATTATCATCACCTCTTTACGATATGTTTATAAAAATAATGCTTAACCAGTTAAAATTTGTACGATTCTAAACTGTTTTCATTTCCTTTAATGTTAAGACCCTAATTCATGATTTTGCAAAATTTGATTTCAATAAACACAATAAATAACTAATCTATTGTACAAAGTTTATCAACCCCCATCTTTCCTCTCCCAATAATGGTTTGGCTGTGTATTTTCTAAACCATCAAATATTCAATAGATTTTAATAGTTTCATGACTACGATCTGCATTCATGTCGAGTGTCTTTAAAATGCCTTATTAGCATTTACACCTAACATAAGTTAACACAAATTTAAATCCATAGACCATAAATAAGTCTTGTTTCCCCGTTCATATACTTTCAAGACATGTTTCATTAAAATTACATCGCCCAGTTGTAACGAAAACACACACGGACTTCAAGACGACAACTATTTTTCAATATCCTACGGGGATAACATAAATTATCAGAAACGTTTTGCAATGTGCCTTTAACATATGAGTCCCCTACCAGTTACCCCGGAGGGGACTTTAGGTTTACCCTCTGTGCATATGTCCGTCCGACCGTCCACAAACTGGATATCTTGATAACGCAAAATGTACTGAACATATATTTATGAATCTTGATAAATGGATAAATAACAGTCTGAAAGTTATGCACGTCTTTTTCTGATTCCGATATTGAAGAAAATGGCCGCTTTGGCAGCAAATAGACTGAAAATATGGCAAATTGAACACATTAACTGGTAATACAAATATTTCTATGAAAACTTAAATATTGATAGATGGCAGTCTGGAGATTATGCACGTTTTTGCTTTTTTCCTAGGTTGAAAATTGTGGTTGCTATGGCAACAAAAAGGGCTTAAAATGTGGTAAATATAACAATATTTGTGATTACTCAAAAGTAGTGAAAACATTTTTCATGAAACTTAAAATAAGAATGTGTTACTTTTCCAACAAATTTTCTTAAAATAGAGAAAAGTTATTATATCAGCATATTCCTCCTGTGAAAATTGGATCTTTTGATTACTTGTCTCTTCTGTAAAAACATAATTTCCTTACTAGGACACATTACTATGATACAGACATACTAATAATTAAAAAGAATTGAATTCACCCATGTCATACATTTATTCATTTATTCATTCATTTATTAATTTATTCATTCATTTATTCATTTCATTCAATGGAATAATTGAACGGCCAATTGCCCTTAAGAATGTTACTGGGGTTTTAACAGGTAGGAGACCTGCATTAATACTATGGTAATTGTTTGTTTATTTTAATATTCACTTTTTTCCAGTCGACGGGGATTGGTGCTGGACGAATGTCACTCTCTGCTCTTATCCGATTTCCTACATTCATTACAGATATAGCGGCGAAGGCTACGAACGGACACATTGCGGGTGTCCATCTCCGTCGAATGGAGGCAAAACCTGTCTTTAGTTACCTGTATTTCCTCAAATGCAGCCATTTATGCATTGCACATTTTACGTTGTTCTTTATATGCGAGAGTAAAATTTGCAAACTATTTTTTTTGTAGTACATGGAGGTTGGTGTGTGGAATATGGCACAACCTGCCGGTATTCAAACGGTCTTTACTATTTTCAATCCAGAAGCGCTAAGATACGAACATCTTGCACGTGTCCAGCACCTCAATTTGGAGGAAAACAGTGTAAACGATGAAAGTTTCCTTGAACAAAAAGTGTCATTACACAAAAACAGTTCGGTCTGGGTTCTAAATCATTTCAGTTATGACCTTTATGTCTGTTTTTGAATTACTAAAATGAAATGCATTGTAAACTATATTATTGATGGCATGGATTTTGAATCTTATTCTGTAAAAATACACAATAACGTACTACAATATAAGAGGGCAACTATAATCTTTCGAAATTTACTCGGTCCTGACTAACGGTATGAACACACATATTTTACATAATTATGGTGGAACACATGTTATATCCATATCTATCTTTTTCTTTTTATATCCCAATAAAAAGTGTCCAGTAGGTATTTCACTGCGTTCTCGTTTTTCTTTCTAAAACATAGGAAAGCGCAACTTATACATGTTTAAGTTCAACATTATAATCCCTTATTTGAATGCAATTTATATCAATCTGTTTGCAACTTTTACACACTTTTGTGATACAAATATTTAGTGTATAGACCTGAACAATTCATATTGATAATACAATGTAAGCGCATCCGCAGTAACATTTTATATTAACAGTCAATGAAAGACATTTTACAGGCACAAATGTTTTAACATAGTCCTCCTTAGGTTAACCTTTCAATAACTAAAAAATGACGAACCCAAGTTCATTTCTACGTTTGTAGCGATTACCTGCAAGATGGTTTTGCAGTCTAGGAAAGAGGAAAAGGTCACAGCGTATCAAGTGTGGAGAATACGGTTGATGTTTACGGACGACAGCCACTCGTTTCTTCTCGAAGAAAGAATCAAACAATAACAGTACGTCTTTGGTATGCAGGAGTGTTTTGAAAACAAAGGCATTTCATACCGGTCAAAGAACAACCCTCATTAAAGTTGTTTCAAGATTTCTTAACACGACATATCTATAATGTTTGGGATAAGACAGAACGGTCTCTAGAAACACAAATCAGCATTTCCCTGTGTATTGGTATTGACAAATAAGTAACCGTACATAACTTTAATGACAGTTGTCAGTCGCTTAGCAAAGCATGGACCACACACATTTTTGTTGGCCCAAAAATATCAAAACAAGATCATCAAGGAAGGAAGGCATTTAATGCCCCACACGACCCAGCAACAAAGGACCACCGGCATATTCTTTTTACACCTGCGAACTGGCTTAAAATAGTGAAACTAGATTTTATCTCAAGTCGCAATATTAGAAAAACGGCGACTGTCATATTTAGGAACATTTTCAGTAATATTTTAGCGCACGTAACTCGCTCCTTCTTCTGGTAAGATGTTAGCAAATGAATCGTACATTTTGCAGTTAATCGCTGAACTAGTTATTCTTCAGTGTATGAGTTGTACCTTTTGATATCCCTGCGATATGAGTTATCTGGGTAGGTGAAAGTATGGCAGTTTTGTCAATGATAAGCTTGACTTCATGAACTTTTTAATTGTCAGTAACTATCAGACTTAAAGGGATCTTGAGTTGACACGTGCACTTTTTTAAATTTGTGCATCCACCTCGAAACAGTTGCATAAGATAATTCATTGATGCCATGAAAAATTCAAATGTCGTTATAAAATTTATAGATTTTTCTTGAGCTTTCATGTATGCCCGTATTTCAGCACTTTGAACTGAGTGTTTACCAGGCATATTATACATGAAGTTACTCATGTAAGGTATAGTTAAATGTGAATATAATTCTTGATATGTTGACTACACACATAATGTGGTATCATTTGAAAACAGATGCTTTGAAGCATAGGATAGTTTACGCAAACACAATAATCACGAGCAAAATTAGTTTATTTTATATAATAAATTGCATTACATGTTCACCAATCCTCGTATACCGTAGTACACTGTTATTATCTTATTTAAAGTTTCTACTATAATATGCAACATGTTGCATGCTACTGTGTACGGGCGTTCTTTACACAGGGGAGGAATTGCTACAAAAGGATGGAGTTCTTTATAAATGTCAGGAGATTTGTAATAACTGCGGGGATTCGTTGGGAAAAACTTTTGTATATGTTTAAAAAACCTGAAAAATGCGATATGGGGCTTTTCGTTGCCAAAATCCAGCCTTGTTATTTGTTTTTGAAGAAAAAATAAAATTGTATTTTTTGTATTTTTAAACCCCTCCAATTTTTGAAAATTTTGGGGTTGAGAGTACCGATTTTAAAAATTTGAAAAACAGTATTTCAAAAAAAAATTTGTGTTATAATTCAAACATTAACTTTTTTTCTGAAGCAAAAACCAATTTCATCTTAACAATGCGAAAATTCTTGTTCTTTTAAAAAAATTCGCCGACAAAAAAAAATTTTCTTTCTAATTTTTTACATTGACAACCAACATATTCGGATCACATAATCCAGTTTACACGTTTTATTAGAATAAAATAGCCCCGCCTAATTTCCCGCCCATACATCATCGTAAATAAACTTATTTATCCGCTCATTTTCGGTATTTACCGTCAGCGACAAGAAGGAAACAAGAACATGCACCGGCGTAGTTTCCGTTTACCACACCTTTATGGTGTTTGGTTATTCACCAAACATAATTCACTTGCATGATGCCATTCTACGCCTTTATTCATTCAACATCAGCGGACTTTAAATGAATATCGACATATAAGTTTTGAAACGTTATCGATACCACATTTCCTAGAAAAAGAAACTAAAAAAAAAAAAAATAAGAATAAATAAAAACCCTCATCAGGTTAATAACTGTCTGAGGTAAAAAAATTTTCAAGGAAGTAAGAATTATTGATAAGATTTATTCAACGACAAATAAATTTTACTGAGGGGATTCCAATTTGCATAGGAATGAGTAACATTAACAGTTAAACTGCTACCTTACCACTTTCTAATTTTCAAGTGAACATCTAAGACTTTGATATGACTAAATACTAATACAGACCGAATTCTGGCTGTTGTCTTTCCTAGTAGTAGTATTTATTATTACATTAATAACCTTAATTCTAGCGTATGACTTGACAAGAAATAAAAACGGTTCAGTTCTCTTTATTCGTGTTACTAAAAGTGACTTCCATGTAACGCATTCTAGTACATGAAGTACTGTTTGCTGAATGTAAAAGACG